GGTTGGTTGGTTGGTTGGTTGGTTGGTTGGTTGGTTGGGAGTTGAATGCATTGAATGATTTTGATTATTCTGGTACACTTTTATGAAAACAATGATCTATAGTTTGGACCCCTTGTATTTCTTTGGAACTACATTTTGCTTAAATATTTGGTACATTTGCTGATAACAATGATTTGTCAGTACTGTTTGCATCCAATTTTTCTTTTCTTTCAAACTACAGCTTCTGCTCTTTCTGTGCTTTTTGTAAACAAGGGAACTGTTAATAACACTGTTATGTGAGATATCACTGTGAGAAAGTTGCAATAAAGCAAGAAGTGTACCAAAAATCTATTTAGTAAACATTAATTTTCACTAAGTAAGGATCTTCAATGTCTCATTTTGTTTGGTGTTATTTTGGGGCTTGAAACACTGGGTGCATGACAACAAATTAAATTGGGTATGGCCTAACTGTATAATTTATATATTGTTCACCTTCAAGTTGGTGCACCCAAAAATTAGAGCTGTGCTCCAAATTTTCTTCTTTAAGTGCACCTAAATATTTTCATAGGTTAATTGTTAAGATATTAAATATATGAGTATACAGCATATTTTTGATATGGAAGTGTCAGAAAAAAAATAAAATCATTGTTTAAGATCATTTCATATGGTGCACGGAAATCTTTTTTGGGCACCCAGTTTTTTTTAGGTTGGGTGCTCCTATTCCCAAAAATGAATTTCGAGCCCTGATTGTCATTCTAGTCCCCTTGTGGTCTCCAACCTTCCTATTCTAATGTGACCTTGAAGTGGTAAAAGTGTCTTTACTCCAGTACAGGTGACCTTTTGTACCTATGTGGAACCCTGGGTGCAGATGATCTTTCCGTTGGTGCCCTTACTGCATGGGGTGGTTATATTGTGGTGGGGCAGGGGATGTCCAATTGAGAAAATCTTGGCATGTACAAATTCTTGTTTTTGTTGTTGTTTGTCTGTCGTTCTCCATCACGTATCACAAATTCTACAGTCACTATGTACATCAACTGTACTATAATTACAATAATAATATAGAATATGATGGTGTCTTCCGTATCACCCGAGGAACCAGCCTGACCGCGGGTCACATTGCCCAAAGGCCTGGGTGGGAGTGCTGGGACCAAGGGCGATGCAGAATACACCATGATGTTATATTTTATTTATGCCATACCAACCTAAGAAAATACACATTTCAATGCAAAATATGACAGAAATTTGATTTCCATAATTTAAAAACAAAGCATTGGAACAACATCAATTTCAATGTCCAAATGTGCTATTTACACAGTGCATGCAAAGCCAGTTCTAATTACTCTTTGGAACTTTTGGAAGCCCGTGTGCTAACTGTTAGTAAGATAACCCTGTGATCACAAGGGTCGGGACACCCATATCAAATAATATCACAGCCTAGGTATGACATGGTGTAAGCATACAGGATCAGGCCATTCCTGTACTCTTCTTGTGTTTGCTATATACTGTGTATTTGCTTTCATGTGTGTTCATAATTATTTGAATACAGTAGAGTGGGAGGGAAATTTTGTTACTGTAGATTGACCTTAAGCTCAAGTTGGCAGTATAAATGGTCTCTCCATAGGGTTGAAGGAAGAGCTGCCTGCCACACAGTTGCAAGGTCATTCCCACTTACATGTAGGGTAATGTTACAACAAGCCTTGGGCCTGCATGATTTTGTTTGTTTGTTTTGCATAACCGGTAAACCACCTTTAGGCACAGCACACCAGTTTTGTACATGTACATACAGTTGTACATATACAAGCTGCGTATGACCGGACTGTAAGGTTTGAAGCACTCACACCAGGAAGGTTCCCTACACTTTTCGATAAGTGCGGTGGGTTCTTTAACGTGCGTGGGGTGTGGCTCTCCCAAACACGGGACCTCCATTTAACCACTAATTTTAGAAAAGGTGGGACATTACGTCTTCCATAGTCTAAAAAAGAGAAGTCAAACCCCTTAGACATAGTTTTAGACATAGCTATAGCTCTAGACAACTACCTTTCATCATGTAGATTTTAGTTATTTTATACTACGTTTCATTGTTCTTTTATGTTTGTCATCTGCAATTAGCCCCCCGGGCATGAATTTGCAATAAACTTCTTATAACTTTATTTAACATCCTATCCGAGTGACTTCCCTAACCAAAGCTAGGTACTCATTTCCAACTGAGTGAAGTGAGGAAAGTCGTGTAAAGTGCCTTTCCCAAGGGCACAAGATCGGTGACATGGGCAGGATTCGAACCCGCAACTTCTTGGGTGTGAGTCGAACATGCTACCGACTGCGCCACACGACTCCATTTCTGTCCTTGGTCTGTTGACAATATGTCACACCTTCTCTTTGTTTGTGCAGATGACATCATATGGATGGACTCGAGTTTGTGCAGTCGAATAAAAAATACTCACTACAGTAAAGGCTTTGTCTGAAATTATATTTCAACCATAGTACATGTATACACAATGTCATGTACAACCATACATTCTACAGTCACCATGAAGGAAGGGCTACGTTAAAGGAGCTCTGTAGTCAAGAGGAGAGTGCTATTTTAATCCAATGGATAATTTATCAATCAATACAATTGCTTTCCACCACAACAATTTCTCTTTGGGTCTTCATTACACCAAGCTAATTTTCAGGTACATGTAGAATGGTTTGTGTGCTTCTTAGTACAAATGTATTTTACATGTATTTGTATGGATATGGGCCATGAGCATGAGGTAAATAAATAAACATAAACACCGATATCACAACCCCCATGCAGACCCTACTCATGCAATCCCTATATTACTTATTTCACTTCAGTATGAATGTTTTCAGCATAAATGCTGTCAGATGAGCAATTTGGCCAATTATTGGAAAGATATCTCCGATTTTAAACCAAACTTTTGTCAGGCACATTGTGGTCAGCCATAGCCAGTGCCTTCTGGAATTGTTTCAAGGGTATTTGGAGGGTTTCCCAGAACACTGATGCTTTTTTTTGCATGCACGACTGCACTGCGAGGTACATGTAGTATGCATTTTTTTACTTCCTGAAATTAAATATATTTTATTGGCAAATACTGAAATAGCACCCTCCTCCAACTCTAGTACTCCTTTAACAGTCAATTTCTGTGTCTGATTTCCTGCCACTATCGGCCACACCAATTTAATTTGTTGTTTGTCAGATTTTTGCATACTATTAGGCATCCTATGATAGCCCCAATGCTACAATAGGTGCCATAAAGTCAATATACCAGACTGGTTTGTAATACAAACAATGAATTTTGAACTTTTAATCAAAACGCTGCGATGGAAAATAAAAACTAACACCTTGTAAGACAAGGAATTTTTTAAACAGTCCAGGGCCAAAATGTTGAAACAAACAGGAGTGAGTAGAAACAGGAAAACCATGACTCCTGGGACACCGGGAATCGAACCTGGGCTGCCAGTTTACGACACCAGCGCGCTAACCACTACCCCAAAATGTCCGTAACCGTTTGAATGGGTCAGTTACTGGCGCTTGAACCCCACTGTTACAATATGAGCATTTTAGATGTAATTTAGAACCAGAATTTTTTTTTCAAAATCTGAGAACAAATTGATTAGATTGGTGTGGTCTTCAAAGGAAGCCCCAAGATAGTCCTACAACACATGTAAAGGCTTTATGAGAAACTCACTGAACAGGACATTTAACTACCAGTATGCCAGAGGTCACATTGCCATTGATATAGATCCAATTTGAAATTTCACCAGAACGTCAGCATACATGTATATCACACTATATGGTGCTCATTTTCACGGCTACAAACTTGGTGAGTGGGTCTGTACTGTATTTCCCTACACCTGCACAGCCAAAATCACCTAGAGCTGATTCATTCGAAAGGTGCTCAATGGGTGTAGAATGATAATTCGTTGCAAAGGTTTTACAAGATTGTGTGATGCAACAACCGTCTTTCAATTACATATTGGGATTTTCTTGTACACAACCTGAGTCCTTCTTTCACATTGCTTGTGTTTCGGTGTCTATCAGACACCTTCCTCAAAGCTTCTAACTGGAGTTCTGCTTCTCGCCACTAATGTAGCCGATGTAGGTGGCACTTTTGCGGCAAGAACGCAATCTCAAACATGGCTGAGTTTGTATCCCCTTGCCCCAGTTCATCACTGAGTTAACTTCCTTATCCAGCTTCCTTGATCCACCGGATTTGTAAGCTTAGGTGAGAGCAGTACTGGTTAAGTTGTGTAATACTAAGAAAATCCCAATATCATCATCATGTTTTACCAAGCCTATGAAATTATTTTCAAAATAATCATCTTTCTCAGCCATTTCTACATGTATCAGAGAAGAAGTGGTGCAAAGAATGAATTTAGTTTTACTATCTTGTACATTTTACATGTTTGTCTGTTACATGTACTAGCACTTCATTCACAATGCCAATGTGTACTACCAAAATGGATGAAAAGTGTAAAATATGGAAGCACTATACTTAAAACACTGGTTATTAGTATACCCATATGACTGATTGCATTCATGCATTGATTTGATGCAAATTTGGTGGGGTGTAACATTAAGCTGTTTATGCTACATTTTCAAGTCTTAACATCCAACAAACATTTATACAAGACAACCAAACTTACATTGTACAGTATAACATATATTCTTTCTAGTTAAGACAGACCATTGTCAACCACTTACATGTAACATTAGGCCACATCAATTTAATTTCTTGGTTAACGGATTCGCCCGCTTCATTTTTTTCTGATTTGCAAATAAAAATAAAAATCCAGAATCAACTGCAAAATGCTCATATTTTGCCCTGAACAGTTGAAAACAGTCCTTTTCATCCTAGTTGTTACAGTTATTCCACCTTTCAATGCAATAGTATCATTAAAAGTTCAAAATTCATTGTTTAAATTTTGAACCAGCCTGGTGTGTTGACTTCATGGCTCCTATCGTACCATTTTGGGCCATAATAGGATGCCTAGGCCTGTTTTTTTTTTTTCGCCCGCCCGCTCCATTAATTTTCTAGAAAAATCCGTTAACCAAGAAATTGAATTGGTGTGGCCTTACCACCAAATATGGACTACATTACACAAGGATCTCATCCACAACATCAAGACTGGACTGCACACACATGCCTCACACTGCTATATTGCACATTTCTTGGATGTACAGGTTTTATAAAGACATTGAAGGGAGGGAAGGAGCAGTGTTAGTCCACGGTATCATACATTGTACATCATCGTCCAGTTGGGTAGTTCCTACTCCTAGCCATTTGCTATGCGTTGAAGTAAGAGTTCTGCATGGAGTATAGTTTGTCTATAGGGTTGCCCAGCTGTGTTGGCTGTGAGTGGGGGGGCATGTTGCCAGGCATGTGCGACGCTGGATGATGTCCGTTTCCCACCATGCAATTGTCTATGTTGTCCACTGTGTTGGGCGGGGCCTGCCCTATCATCTCAGGAAACATGTCGTCTGCTGTGTCTGTGGGAAACAAACAACACTGGTTAGGCCACACTAGTGATGCATACCGGTTGACTGGACTTGGATCCGGACTTGTAAGAATGTTTAGGTTCAAGTCCAAAAAAACCTAAAAGTCAAGAACTGGGTCCAGACTTGAATCCGGACCTGAACCTAAAATTGGGTTTAGGTATGCAGCACTAAGCCACACCGATTTGATTTGTTGGTTCTCTTATTTTTTTCAGAAAAAATATGAAGCGACAAGGCGAAAAAAGATAAAAAAATAAAAAACAGACCTTTGCATCCTATGATAGCCACAAATGCTATGATAGGACTAATAGGAGTCATAAAGTCAACATACCAGGCTGGTTTGTAATTCAAGCAATGACTTTAAAACTTTTAAATCAAACCACTGCATTGACAGATGGAAAAACTGTGACAAATCTGAAGAGAAGGGACTCCCTTCAACTGTGGGGGCCAAAATATGTGCATTTTGGAATTGATTCAGAACCAGAATCTTTTTCTTTTTTTTTTTGCAAATCAGATAGAAATGAAGAGGCGAATCCGAGAACCAACAAATCAAATTGGTGTGGCCTTAGGATACTGATAAATTTTTGTCATTCTTTCAAACTACTGAAATTATCAGATGAAGGTTCAACATTCAGCTGCTGAGATACACAAGAAATTCATTAACTGATTTGCAAAAAAAAAAATTTAGGTTCTGAATCAACTCCAAAATGCTCATATTTTGGCTTGAACAGTAGAGGACAGTCCTTGTCTTCCTTATCATTACAGTTTTTTCCATGACATCAATGCAGTGATTAGATTAAAAGTTCAAAATTCATCGTTTGAATTACATTAGTCTGGACTAAGCCTGATGTGTTGACATAATGGCTCATATTGTAGCTTTTTGGGGCTATCAGAGGATGCCTAGCTCTGTTGTTTTTTCCCCTGTTGCTCCATATTTTTTCTGAAAAAAACTGAGAACCAACGAATCAAATTAGTGTGGCCAAGACACATTAGGCAAATGTTTTTTGCAAAAACATCTATAGGATAAAAAGTAGAAGAAGCCGTAGATATAACGTCATGATCACACTACTGTACAGTTGTAGTCCTGTCCTTGGTGCTGAAGAATGGTCACCTCACACAGAGAATGTGTTTTCAGTTATGTCCATCTTTATTTACTTACTGTTAAGATCAGGATATTAAGACTTACATGTATTGTCATGTTACATGTATTTACTACTCGTATTACTACATGTATTTTCAACACATATGTCTATTTCTGTAGATGGTCTTCTTTTTAACAATTGTCCTTGCAGGATTTTGACTGCAACTTTTATATGAGCAACCACAGGGAAGAATGCTTGAATTTACACTCATTTGTCACATTTTTCTGAATGAAAGGTGGCCTTTGAAATGATTTTATACTGCCCTAAATGGGATCATAGTGTTATTTAACTGAGATGTTCGCTGGTGTTCCACCAGGTCTGCTACTGTCCAGATGCCCCGGCCAAATTCGAAATATTTGAATGTGGATGGGATGTTCAGCCGTGGTTGGTGGATGGTTAGCTGGTGTTCAAAAGTAGGTGTTGATGTTTGGGGCTGTCAAAATTTTAACTCAAATTTTAAATGATTCATTTCAAAGGCATGGCCTAAATGTGATCAAACTGCTCCCAAACCTCAGTCAAACTTGGCTGTTGTTCTCTAAGGCCATATTGATTTGATTATATGGATGACATCCGCGCGCGCATGAATTTTCGGCCGTTTCCAAAAAAAAAAAAGTTTTCAACCATACTGTAAATCGTACAAAACAGTTGCAAAATGAGCAAAAATATACCATAAGTTACAAAAAAAATTAATAAAAACTATACCAATGTTGTAGAATGCCAAAATCAAACAAAAAAAGACGAAATTGTAAAGAAATGAACTTGAAGAGTAGATTATTCGCCAAACCATATGCTGTGCCATTTGCTCAACCCTCATGACCACGTAGATTTCATAATGAAAAGAACTTTTTTTTTTGCAAAACTTTTTTTTTATTCGCACGCGCGCATCAGTTTTGGGGATCCCGGAGGATGTCATATATATAATCAAATCAACATGGCCTAATCTCCAAGCAGATCCCTTTCGGTGGCAAAAAGACAGTATCAAATTGGCCAGGCAGTATCCATTAGCCAGAGAAGGTCCGCGGCCACCGACGGCCATGCATATATAAAAAGCTAACGATCATTCCCCACAACCTCTGCTTGGAGAGTAGGTGTTCTCTGAATGTGGGACAGTCACTGAGTGGCTAAGTTACATAGAGGGTGAATATTTCAGTTGTCACGGCGGTCGGTTGCTAGGCTAAAAGTCGCATTACTAGGGAGTTATCGGGTTACAGAACGTGTTCGAACGTGGCCGCGCGGGAGTCCCAGGCCGGCCCGGGGGCAACGGGTAAAATTTGAAAATAAACAAAAGTAATTGGAGAGTTAATACTCGTCAAAATAAAATGTAATAAGTGATTTTGTTTACCTCAAATGTTATTCTTGCACTGCCTTTGCTCCACTTTGTGTACATTTGCTTCCAAATGAGATCAAATTCGGATTTCAAAAAGGGTTCACGAGAACCAAACAACTGATTTTAAGAGGCCCCGAAAATTAAGAATAAGGTTAGATTTTTGGATTTTTAGAAATATTACAGTAAATTTAAACTTTCTGTCTTAGGATTTTTTTATTTTTTAACTAAAACTCGACTTACAGTCAAAAGAAGAGCTAAAAACGCAGTGTTTTAACTTTAAATACCGATAATTCATAATCGCGGCCATATTTAAAAAATCCCTAAGACAGAAATCTGCGGAAATCGTTGCTCTTCCAAACAAGCCCTCAATGAGGTAATTTGAGCGATTTTAGGGAATGGTTAAAATACCATGTTTGCACGCATGCTGTGCCACTTGGATATGGGGACCTGGATTTTATAACAGCGTCAACAAGAATTCTGACCTTCAAGGTCACCCACGATGACCGCAGTAGCTTCGTTACATGTTACATATCCACAATAAAATCACGGCATAGATGTAATGTTTTGAAAACGGTTCATATTTGTGGAAAGGTGGATTTTTCCTGTTCCGTGGTTCCCAAGTAAAAAAGGGCTTGAAGTAGCCGGTTGTAGCGGCTTTACTGTAAATGACCGCGGGTAACCCCAGATCGAACGCCCGCTCTATTCGAATGACGTCATATAGAACAAGATTCGCGGGTTCGGGGGATTCGATCTCCATAGTAGCGGAGTGGGACTTTTGGGCCCAAATCTGACCATCGTGTGTTTCTGTGAGAGTGGTTGTTTTATATACCTGGTGGTAGTCCCTGGGTAGGGTACATGTTCTGTGAGAGTGGTAGTTTTACCTGGTGGTAGTCCCTGGGTAGGGTACATGTTCTGTGAGAGTGGTAGTTTTACCTGGGGGTAGTCCCTGGGTAGGGTACATGTTCTGAGGTACCATGGATACAGGAGGTCTGATGTGATGCTCTGGGTAGGGACTGTCCACTATATTGTTGAGGTGAGGTAGGTTGGGCTGCATGGGGGAGAAGTTTTCCATGATGTGTCCCTCCGGCCGCCCCTGGCCCTGGGGCTCCCCCATAGACATCATGTCATCTGTGTACAAAACATCCATGGAAGAATCTGGAAAATACAGAGGTCAGATTTCAAGATTTCGTTACAGTCATTATCATACAAAACTCAGAAAACACAACAGTGATATCAGACAACAGAACAGTGACAACAGAACAGTGACAATAGTCATAAGATGGGAAACGTTTAACCAAGAAAGACCTTTCTGAAAAGAACACCTATATAAGGCCACACCAATTGAATTTGTTGGTTCTCGGATTTGCCTAACTTTTTTCTGATTTCAAAAAAAAAAAAGATTCTAGTTCTGAATCAACTCAAAAATGCTCATATTTTGCCCCCTACTTGTTTTTTCCATCTAATATATCAATGTGGTGGTTTCATTGAAACTTTGAAATTCTTTGTTTAAATATGAACCCAGCCTTTTGTGTTGACTTCATGGCTCCTATCATAGCATTTGGGGCTGTAATAGGATTGCCCAGACCTGTTTTTATTTTTTTTTTGTCCTGTCACTTCTAATTTTTTTTTGAAAAAAATCAGAGAACCAACAAATTAAATTGGTGTGACCTAAGAACATGATAAAATATAAGCTACAACCTCCTATGTACTAACCCTCTAATCATCACTATCAAAATACCTAGAAACGGCATTTCATTCAGAAAGAGGTTTTTGAAGAAGTTTCTTTCAATTAAACTTTATTGATACCATTAAGGCATTGCTAAATCAATAACTTAGTAAACCATTTTGTGTGTGTACAGTAAACTGTTGCTCCTACTAGATTTGGATATACAATGTATTTTCAACACTTTCTCCCTTTGCTTTAACAGTGATAGGCTCACATGTACATATCTATCCATCAACTTATCAAAGAAAATCAGTTTATGTACTGGAAAGACATACAATGTAACTTCTAAACTGCTGAGTGATGTTTTATGAGCTTGCACAGTGGATAAAATAATTCACACAAACTCAAGAAGAATATTATGGGTATTACTTTAAGATACACAAGTATGTCAGTAAGAGGAACTACATGTACATGTAAGTAGAAACAGTGCAGGTCATGTGGGAAAAATTGACCATTGGTAATTTTTGTTTATTGTCTAGAAAACCCGTTTCTTTTGTTTCGCCCGTAACCCTTGACACGATCACGTGATACGCCATTCGACTTGACGGAACGCGAGTGCCGGTCTTCCTTTTGTTTGTCCCTTCACCCACCACCACCCCTTTCTCAGCCTTGTTAATTATAAGTCTTACCTAGTGAGTTGTTTCACAATATAGTTTATGACGTTGGTGTTTGTTTCGGAAAAGTCACAAATTAAAGGTTTTCCTTTTTCCCGGCCAAACTGTGTCTGATTTGTCTCATGTTCCCCGAGTTTTTGTATTTGTATGATAATTTTCAAACTTACTGGAACTCTCGTCGTCATCTTTCCGCCTCCTCTGTTGTCTGGAGGGCACCCTGCTTTTCCCCTCCCCGTTGGCCCCTTGTGACGCCTCCTGATTCCGGCGGGCAAGTTTCTTCATCTGTCAGGACAAATCATGGAGGAAAAAACACAGATTTGAAGCTTTACAAGACACAGAATGCAGTTTTCTGGTGATCACGTACAGTTCCAGGAAAGAGCATGAGGTCCATGGTAGCTAGTGAGAATAGGGAGCTGGCGGTAACTACGGAGGACGGCACCCAGGCTGCCGAAGGTACACAGAACTCAAGAACTCTCAGACTGAGTACAGTGCCGACTCATAAATGCCACAAAAGGCCAGCATGTGCCGGCTTGTTGTAAAAGTCCAGTATGATCTAAGTGCAAATTTTGTATTCCTGTGGTTTAGAAGCATTTTTTTTTTTGGCTGGAATTTTTCTTTTATTTGCCTGTGCACACTAGTTTGGGGGTCTTCAAGGATGTCATCCATAAAATTAAGTCAATGTGGCCTTACTGTGAATGGTGGATTAAAAGCAGGTACAGGTAAGTCAGACACAGAGAGTACCAGGACAGCAAATTGTAACGAAAAAGGAGCAAAATGGAAAGAAATATGATGCAAAAAAGAGATTGCTGATAGCACAAAATACGAGCTGATGAGTAACACAAGTCGGCAGTAAATGTTGATGTGAGTTACACGTATGTCTAGAAAAAATCATTGTCATCATAAAGAATAATGATAAAATGTGGGCAGTAAATAGATATAGCATTACATTTCTAGAATGTATCCAGGATGGGGCAACCTTATTATTAGACAAGCAACCAACAGAAGGAGAACTTCAAGATTAAATTGTACAGCATTTCCATTCATGTGGCTAAATTCTATGTATATTATACTATGTTAATGTAATGTACAAAATGTAAGTTTGCTCTTTTTCATCATCTTCTGGAACTGCAGGGGCAATTTGGAGAAAATCTTTCAAAGGTAAGTCATGGATTTATATGATTTCATGCATTTAGTTAGCTTAGACAAACATGAACACAGTTAAATACACATTGTGCAAATTATGACAAATTGAATGGGAAAATTCTATTATTTCCCTTGTTTTACATAATGTGGCTCTAATACATTTTGTACATGTAACAGCCATGTAATGTATGGCAGGTGGAACAGTTAACAGATACCAATTACAAAAATAAGGGTTTAATTTGCATAAGGCCACACCAATTTAATTTGTTGGTTCTCGGATTCGCCTCTTCATTTTTTTCTGATTTGCAAAAAAAAAAAAATTTGATTCTGGTACTGAATCAACTGAAAAATGCTCATGTTTTGCCCCCAAACAGTTGAGGAAAGTCCTTTTCTTCCTAGTTGTTACAGTTTTCCCATCTATCATTGCAGTGGTTTGATTAAAAGTTCAAAATTCAATGTTTAAATTTTAACCCAGCCTTTTGTGTTGACTTCATGGCTCATTTTGTAGCATTTAAGCCTATAATAGGATGCCTAGACCTGTTTTTATTTTTTTTTTCGCCCTGTCGCTTCATATTTTTTCTGAAAAAATCCGAGAACCAACAAATTAAATTGGTGTGGCCTAATGCAAAAATGCCATGATTCCTTAGTTATAAATCATCATAATTCCATACTTATGATAATTGTGTAAGTTAGTTCAAACTGGACATCACTATGCATGAGTTATATAAATGTGTAGTTCATTTGCTAGTTATCAACGATGAAATATTATTATAATAGAACTCCCCCAACCATGGTTAGGAGTAGGTTGGGAGCAAGGTCAGCTGTGGTTGGCCGGTGTTCATCTGCACCTGAGACAAATGTTTTCAAACATCCAGGTGTGGACAGGAGGTCTGGCTATGGTTGGCAGGTGGTTGGCTCACTAGATGTTGGAAAATAGTTCGAGACATGGTTGGCAGCCAAAATTTACTCAAATTTAACTCAAATTCGATTTGATTGTATAGAAAGGTAGGTGTGGTCTACACCTGGCTAGATTTCTCGTTAACTTCAGCCAACCTTGGTCAGTTGGAGTTGAAGGGAAGGTTCTGAATGTGTGACAGTGCAGGGCTCGGAAAACTTCAGCCAACCCTGGTCAGCTGGTGTTCGGGGGATGGTTCTGCATGTGTGACGGGCTGTATTTGGTTCTAGATGACGTAATAGTACTGACCTTGGCTCTTTGATTCTGGAACCAGACCTGCACCACCCGTACACTCAGCCCAGTCTCAGCTGCCAGCGTCTCTCTCACCTGGAGCAGTTCACATACAACACTTGTGACCAGCCCAGGCTGGCATACAACACAACAATGTCCATTTCAGCATAATCTTGTTATTCAAAATACATCATACCAACATCAGCATGTCTTTATGGGGATATACATAATTATGTACATGTAGTCACTTGTCACTGCAAAAAGTCTTTCCTGCTCTGTGGAAATGTCAACTACATTGTGTAGATTAGGTTGCTACATTATGATTCTACTCTTTTGTCTATCCAATAACTTGTATGCTAGTACATACATTTGTAATTGCATTTTGGATAAGACCAGTGCATGACCAAGTGGGTAGAGTGTTGGCCTTGCACTTGGTATGTCGTGAGTTCAATCCCTGGCTAATTTGTACTAAAGAAGTTTAAAAATGGTACATACTGCTCTCTCTGCTTAGCACTGACAATTGGGAGAGAGTGTGGGAGGTAAACACACACCACTACCAGTGAACTAGCCCCTGCTGTAACAGTTACGAGTGATTGCACATCTGTGTGGCCCAAGGGCTAATGAACTCAGGAGATGGGTGCCACCCTTTACACCATCTGGTGCGGGAAGGACTTAAACTTAACTAAACTAACATCTGTGTCTGCCCCCCTAGGCCTGAATGTTTAGGTCAGGTAATAAAATGTGAATAGATAATGCTGAAATGTGACTCTATGATTGAACATTACACAGTCAAGTTATCAAACAAATTTAATACATGTGAGAGAACTGCAATTCTTAACATGCATGTCTTGGTTGGAATTTTAGACCACATGTTGTGAGTATTTGTTTCTTACCTTTCTGCATGGTTTTGGGGAGACTTCAAACAATGCCTTGAATTCTCTTCTCTGTTGTGTTGTCAGAATTGTACGTGGCCTCTTTGGTCGGGGCCGATTTTCTGTGGTATTTTCGTCTTCCTCACTACTACCTGTGGCACAGGAAAAGTCATGTTCTTCATTGAACTGTAAACTTCTTACCTTTCTGCATGGTTTTGGGGAGACTTCAAACGATGCCTTGAAGGCTCGTCTCTGTTGTGTTGTCAGAATTGTACGTGGCCTCTTTGGACGGGGCCGATTTTCTGTGGTATTTTCATCTTCCTCACTACTACCTGTGGCACGAAAAACAGGATGTGCTTACTTAGGTTGCCCACGGGACTTGACAGTTTCTACATCTGGAGAAGAATCATTGCCTACAAGGTTGAGTAACAAAACAGAGCCAATTGAGAATTTGTGATTGAGACAATGTGACCAATTGAGACAATGTGAAATTTTCCAGTTTGAGCAGTTAATGTTTGTTGCCTCTGGACTGCTTGTCGGGTAGATTGCAATTGATGCTACAGATTTGTCCATCCTTTCACATACATTTGTATGTAACATTACTTTGTCTCATTAAACCAAATATTGAAAATGGGTACATTGTAGCTTGTTGTGCAGCTTGAGATTATCGTCAACAGTGGACAAATAGAAAGAATGGTTTCAGTCTCTTTTCATTTATATCAAATTTTGTTGCAAATTAAGGATGTCCTGGTTGTTTATAGACCTTTTATTAAGTTTCTCATGAAAAGTGTCCAAACTTACTTGTAGTCTGTAGTAGAGCTTGTCAAACCCATGGGTCTTTGTGCAATATGACTGTTCTTCTTAAAGTTCTTCTCAAAGCTATGTGCATGAGCCTATGCCAGATATTGTAGAATCTAAAGACACTGTTAGTAATAGACCAGTTTTCTGGAGTGACGTTGGTTGTTCTGTCACAAAGTACATTGTACCTTCCTTCCTTTCTTCCTTCCTAGGTGATTCTGACTTGATTTTATGGATGACATCAATGTACATGTATGCATCAATTTTTGCTGTTATCAAAAAAAAAAAGAAGAAGAAAAATGCTCCCACTGCCAACTCTGTAAGGCAAAGATTTAACTGCTGTGAAAATAAAATTTTGCCTGTTTATTATTAATATTAACTGTAACAGTTGTATATTTATTATGCTTTTCTACATGTAACACAGTGAACAGTATGGTATGACATAAACATGACAAAAAATGGAAACTTGTCTTTGTCTTAGGGGTTAAGGTAGCCAACATCAACTTGCTGATGATTCTGCTACACTGTAGTATTTTGGCTGTAGAATTTGGACCATCGCACACCGGGGCATGCCCCTATACTCTTTTACGAAAGGTGTGGTGGGATCTTTAACGTGCTCGAGGTGTGGCTCTCCTCAAACACGGGACCTCCAGTTTACATCCTTTACATCCTTACGTTACTTCTGAATCAGTAACTGTTGATCATATTTCCGTATTATCTGATCATTTCTACATCTTTGGAAAGGGTAATACTATTATTATTACAAATTGCAGGTACAGTTGAAAAAAACACCTTGTACAATTAGTAATGGTATGCCTCACCAGTTGTTTGTACATTTTCCATTTACTAGAATTGCTGACATGTGTTTAACTTTAAGTAGTCACAGAAAAACACCACAACTATATCTCAGAGATTTTCTAATCACAATCAGTAGATGTACCATGATTGTACATAAATTTCATGCAATAAATTTTTTCTATTATACGCATTGTGTCTCACAGCATTGAAAATTAAAATTTGTTGTCCTTTAGATATACTACCGGTAGTACATTGTAATACCTCAGGAGTCACCATGGTTGTGCATTATCAGAACACCTCTATACAGACTATTGTGGGTGTGTCATGCAAAAAAAGTGCTGAAATTTTCTTCACTCACACTTTCCAATACATGTATGTCACAGGCAGACAGGAATTTTGACAACCCACTGACATACATGTAGCGAGCCCTGGTGCTTGGCTCATGAAAGTTTCTCATATATGATGAAAGAACATATAAACATGCCAAGATCATTTTCATGGACTCCGAGGTTAATAGTTTTAGGAGATTGGGATGTTGCCATGGAAGTTGCATCTGCAGGATTGTTTCTAGGAGCAGGTCAGCAAAACATGTACTGCGCCTGTGTGAAACCCATATTTTTTACTGTTTTTGTTGGATGATTGATTGGTCAATCTGTTTTTGCCCGTTGCAGTTGATACATGTACCTTTCCTTGACACAACACTTGAAAATTGTAGACAGGATGCCATCCTTAAATATGCAAATAAGACCTTAAACGAGACCTTCTGCCGAAGTGCTATGAACAATTAATTAGGCCACACCAATTTAATTTGTTGTTTCTCTGATTCTCCCAGTCCATTTTTGTCTGATTTGCAAAAATTGTTCTAAATCAACTGCAAAATGCTCAATGAAAGACATGTTTTGGCCCCAGCAGTTGAAAAAAACTCCTTTTCTTCCTATATATACTTGTTCAAGTTTTACAATCTAGCAAATGCAATTTTGTTTCATTAAAAGTTCAAAATCTATAATTGTTTTAATTATAAAACAGCCTGGTATGTTCACTTTATGGCTCATTTTGTAACATTTCTGGCTATCATGGGGTGCCTTGGCCTTTTTTTTCCCTGTTGCTTCATATCTTTTCTGAAAAAATCTGAGAAACAACAAATTAAATTGGTGTGGCCTTATGGATTTAATACTGGCATTATGATAGTATGTTCTGCTGATGTGCTGTTTCTAGGCATTGTACTGAGGACAGGTGGGAAAGTTGCCGTCATCATCACACTTGGCTGTTGTCATATGCAGATTGTCCCAGTACCACCAGTAAAAATGCCTTTCATCAAAGTGAATAACACTGCTTTGAGTGATGCCAGTATGGATCAGGTGTTGTATCTCTGTATACTATTAGCCAGTATACAATGTCATGTATCTGCTGCTCGGTGTTACACACTAAGGCCGTGTTTAAGTGAAATCACCCAAACCGCGATTTGGGTAACTCACATTCCTCACATCTGGTGAAACCGTGTCCGATCACGATTCGCTTGAGCTACATTTATTGTTATTTGATGTAAACACGCAAGGTGGTGTGTTATTATTGTCAGAGGTCAACGACCTGCTTGCTGATGCCCCCCCTCCTAGTGTATCTCGGCCGAATGCCGACGTGGTCCCACCAGAGGCGGTGAAGCTCACCCTAGAACGGACACATTATTAGACCATTACTGCTCTTTAAGTTGCCGCCACGTAAAAATTGGTATTGCATACATGTGTAATTAAAAAATAAAGAAATATCACCCCGTAATCCATGACCAGGCGAAGATACATTGAAATCACATTGCGTTCAGACGCAAATCGCGATGCAGGAAAACCGATTCAAAACCACCTCTAGAAGTGGCTTGGGATCGAGGCGCTTTCAATGTGATTTCGGAGCATTCAGATGTAGCCACTTGAAACCGGCATCGGGGTGAACCACATGTAAAGCGCCTTGGGTGATTTCACTTAAACACGGCCTAACATGTAGCTTTGCAGGTATGAGGCATGGCAGCAGCTGGCTATACTACACCGAATGACCTCTAATACCTTACCTTTGAACATCTAACTGTAAACATTGCTTAAGGCTATCTAGTGACAATGCCCTGCTGTACTTGGTAGCAGTGAGTAATTCTAAGAAAAAAAAACAAGAATGCCTCAATCCTTGGTTGATAACTCTGGTCCATGACTTTTCTTGTTCTCGTATCTATTGTCTGTAAATAGGCACTGTTGGAAATTAAATTGGGCCTCATTTATCTTTGGGGATGTCATTGGTAAAGTCATTTAGATCTGAGCAAAAGAATGCAGAAACCAAACTGTGCAAATCCTTCAAACTAGGTACATTTGGATGAACTTCAGTGTTTCAAAATCCTGTATTTTGTTATAATCAGTGAGTCACATGATTTTGAATAATATCACTGACTTGTTACTTACATTGACTGTCTTACATTTAATCACCTTGTGACCCATTAGAACATGTCAATAGAATTATTAATAATGATAACATTCAGATACATTTTTGTATATCAATATTTTAGACTATCCATGTTAACTTTAGGCCACACCAATTAAATTCATTGTTTCTCGGATTTTTTCAGAAAAAAATCAGAAGCGACAAGGCGAAAAAAAAAAAACAAAAAAAAAAACAGGCCAAGGCACCTCATGATAGCTGGAAATGTTACAATTTTATTATAAACCAGCCTTGTTTATGATTAAAACAATAGATTTTGAACTTTTAATGAAGCAAAATTGCATTGTTACATTGAAAAACTTAAGAACTAGTCTAGAAAGAAATGGACTTTTTTTAACCGTTGGGGATAAAATATGTCTTTCATTGAGCATTTTGCAGTTAAATTGGAAAAAAATGGACAGGGCGATCCGAGAAGCAACAAATTAAATTGGTGTGGCCTTACAGTTATAAAAAGTTAACAATATAAATTTTCTCTTCATGCATGCATACTCAGTACAAAAAACATTAGATATTGAATACCCGTAGCTCAACATACCTGGACTCATTTTTGGCACTGCCAGCTGAACTTCCTTTTCATAATCATGCTTGCAGTATAGCTGAGAATTTTTCATGATGAACTCGTCGCCTTTCTGTAACCTCTGCTGACAAACCACACATTGAAAACATCTGAGGTGGTAGATGTTGCCCATGGCTCTCATCACAAACTCTGTAGAAGGAATGGACTGGAGACAGCCGGTACACTTGGTCCCAAATAATCTGAAGATCAAGAAATATGAAGATGAAGAACTTTATTGACACAACAAAAAGTACAGCGACTTTTGTAAGGTCAAAGACATGTAGATATACAGACAATTATACATGGGTATAACGAAAATATCCTACGTACAGAACAATAGGTGGGTCAACTAATGTTCTAAGGTCTAAACATTCTTTGATATATTTACCTATTTGTACACAGTAAGGGTTATTGCCTTCTAGGATGAACTTAAATTTATCTATAGCATGAAATGTAACAAATTCTGTTGAGCAGGCGGAGAGAAGGTTGAACAGCTTTGTGCGTTTATCGTTATATAGTGTACAATTCAAAATAAAATGTTGTTCATCTTCAATATGATTGGGACAGAATGGACAAAACCTCTGGTCGCGAGGGACTTTTTTATATCTTCCTAATTCTATATTCAATTTATGGCAAGAAATTCTCATCTTTGTAATCGATCTACGAACTTCAAAATTGTGTATTTCAGAAAGGTAATTTTCTTGTCCGTACCTCGTCTTTAACATCGAATAGACAGAAAGTTTTGAATTATTTTGAACAGAAGTATGGTATTCTTGGATGTAAATATCCTGTAAACAACGTCGTAATTGATCTGCAAACATGTCAACGTGATACAACCTGGGGTTTTTCCATACATAACCAAAACCGTTATAATTAAGGATGTCGTGTATATGATTTACCCAGTCAGAATCAGCGGAATGTAGAATATTGTATGCCTCGTGTCAGTTACCAGTTGTTCACAGCACATTCCTGTTGTTTCTTTGCTGTTTATTCAATTCAAAACACAAAACACCATCATGATGATTGATTTCAATTGTCATTTTTGAGACAAAAGTAATCCTTACATTGAACTTGCCCATATACTAATAGATAATTTATTATTTGAAGCTCTGGTCAGGATTTAACCTCTGAAAAACAAGAAATCAGAGCCATTGTTTCTGCAGCTGAACAATATATATAGAATACAACACAGGGTATTCCGTATCGCCCGAGGTATCGGCCCGACCGCGGGTCGGATCGCCCGATGGCCGGGCCATCGGGCGATCCGACTCGCGGGAGGGCCGGGACCGAGGGCGATGCGGAATACACCGTGTTGTATTTTATTTATGTCATACCCACCCAAGAAAACACGCCTTTCAATGCAAGATGAGCCAAAAGTTGGTGCCACTGAACCCTAAACTGCAACAACATCAATTCCAACGTCCGGATTCTGTATTCGAATTTTCGAAAGGGGCACAAGCGGGTAGGGCGAAACGCGTTCGAATAGTTTTATGGAAGCCATGGAAGCGTTCGATAACGGGTTCCGGACCGGGCCGTACCGTAAAGTACGGCCCGGTCCGGAACCCGTTATCGAACGTTATCGCGGCCCGGGTATGATATAAATACATGTACCTTACTTACAGACAACTAACAAAAAGATGAAGAATTTCGTTTAGCACTGTGACAGTCATATAATGTTTACTTTTAGTAGTAGGAAGACACAATAGTTTAAAAAGAAACACCTAGAAAGATGACCTAATGATGCAAAAGCACACTGTCAGTCACATACATGTAAAATACCAAACATCCTAAAAAAAATGCAAGGTACCCATTCCTTAGGTTTCCTGGGAAAGGATTCAAATTTCCACCTCACACATTTGCACACTGTACCTCCTAAGAAAAAATATATGTAGTTTGCCCAATTGCAATGCTACATGCCTTTGGTTCCCATATGCAACATTTCCAATATCTCAAATTAAACATAACCCTTAAACACTAAATTATCATCAGTATAATTTCCATCATATATATACATGTATCTGGTATTCAGCCACATTACAATTTGCAACATCTTACATTTGTAAAACCCTAAATTTTGTCTGAATTCAAAATGGATTAATAATCAAACAACATCATAATAATTATGGACTGACTAACAGTAGTAATTATTGCTATGGAACACATTTTTCAACACTTAACAGCATACTGTAACTACAGTTATTTGAGAAACTTTTTCCAACACAGGAGACTCATGGTTCAAGGCCATTCTACATTCACTCTGACATTTGATAGGTCCATGATATTACATTAGGGTATCTGAATGATGTGCCTTGACTGCCAACGCATGGAAGAGGTGAAAAACCTCCTAAAACAAAACAACATTTTGATGTTTTCACTGCTGAATTTGGTCATCCTCATATGGTTTTTCTTCACGCAATAAAAAGTCATTTTTTCCCTTTGTGTCATTGAAATAAGGTGGCATGTCAGAACTATGCAAAAAAGGACAAAACTTTTCCAAAGCAGAGAAATTGATGATTTATTTAATGCTTTATGATTTTATACGTCATATAACAGTATGATTATACAATGGTATTGATTGATGAGGGCAAAATTTCTACTCTCAGCTTTAGTTTTTCTAAAATTACATATTACCATAAACATTTTGGCCTACTTGGCCTACATGTATGGTAGTCCGCAACCCCTCCCAGCTTGTGTGATGGTATTAGCACTAATTTTGTCCAATTTGTGGACTTTACAGGAGCTTTTCTCAACAAAGAGATAAACCCTTGTGGACAGGTTTCAGCTCAAATTGGATCACGTCTATTTGTCATGAAACAGTTACAGCTTATCCGCTGGTTTAAAGGTCATAAAGTAATTACATGTGAACATAAGGCCACACCAATTTAATTTGTTGGTTCTCGGATTTTTTCAGAAAAAATATGAAGCGACAGGGCAAAAAAAAATAAAAATAAAAACAGGTCTAGGCATCCTATTATAGGCTTAAATGCTACGAAATGAGCCATGAAGTCAACACAAAAGGCTGGGTTAAAATTTAAACATTTGAATTTTGAACTTTTAATCAAACCACTGCAATGTTAGATGGGAAAACTGTAACAACTAGGAAGAAAAGGACTTTCCTCAATTGTTGGGGGCAAAACTTGAGCATTTTTCAGTTGATTCAGAACCAGAATCAAATTTTTTTTTTTTGCAAATCAGAAAAAAACGAAGAGGCGAATCCGAGAACCAACAAATTAAATTGGTGTGGCCTAACAAAGGTATGATATGGTACTCAGTGACAATTATGAAATGATAATCATACATAATATATCCTTTGTGCTGGGATTACAGCACACTACCCTCAGTAATTATCGCTGCTTCTCTTGTCACCCTCTGCCTTCCTCAGTTGAGGGAACACAGAAGTGTTACTAAATGTGTAATCACCCACCTGCATGTTTATTTCAACTGAAAGTAGGCAATTTTACGCTTGAGCATTTGCCGTTCTCCCACGGGACAGACAGGAGTGGTAATAATCGTTATCCCATTATAGCCCTATTGAGCCAAATATTAACTCTTTCTACTCAATTGGCTGGCATTATACTTTCATTTAGCTGTGGTGGCACTAATCTGGAATGGAAAAATTGGATGTAAATGTGAAATATTGAAAATCCACACAAATTAGCATCCAGAGGCAAAGCTGTCTGTTCTACTTCTTCACGAGAGATTAGATTTGAAAGTAATTAGTGGTTTGGACTGGGAAAAGAAAGAAACCGACTGTATTGTAAGAACAACTCATCAAAATAGAGACTGTGTCTGAATTGTACTGCAAGCAAAACAGACAGTTACTATTTTTGTGCTCAAGCAGAAAATACCAAATTGAATGTACTGTATAAATGGGTAAACTAAAAGTACACTCTATAATAGTTACAGTTTATATAGAATTATGGGGACATGCCTGTGATTCAGTATTTAGTACTGACCATGCATAGACAAAAGATGAAAGAGCTATACCATGGTAGCCGTGGTGCAAATGTACATGGGGAACTGCTAATTGCACAGAAGGGCCATTATGCAAGCTCCTATACAGGCCCACGATACACATAAAACCTATTCTTTTCAAATGGATACATATTTCTACGTACATACATGTATGTATCAGGTGGTCACATTTAATATTGGCTCCTGTAACATATATTTGGTTTTACTGGAACCTGATTTTGTATAATTACACAGTCATGTCATTTATTTTTTGGATGCTTTTCACAATGTACAATTAATATTGTAGACTGCTTGAACATTTTATAGACTGGTTTATACATTGGTTTATTGAACATTTTGAGTTCAATCATCAATTTAAAGAATTAAGCAAAGCAAAAGAGGCAAAATCTGACTTTATACAATTATCAAGGTACATGACAGCTGAGAACTAGTCTACTGATATGAAATCTCTATGATCCATGTAAAAAAAACTAAAGATACACATACAAGTAGATAAAAATCATAACGTTGTGTAATAAAATCTTTCTTGATTGTCAATATTATATATAATGGTTTTTATTATAATATAGTTAATTTATAAATATAACTACACTGTTAACAGTGTGGCAACTTCTTTTTGTCCAGTTGTCAACTCAGCCGCAATAGTTTTAATAACCAATGTCTCAAAAGAAAACTAGTAACCAAAGAAAATTAGTTGATATGTTAGTTTGAAATTAGTTGAAATTAATTCAAAGTTTCAGACAGCTTAACAACCGTATTGACGCTAGAAAAGTTGTGTAGGTACAAAACATACATTTGTATCTCTGCATTTATCATGCATATGTCAAAAGCTGGTTAAAGTTAGCTAGTTACAGTTACTAACTGATACAACCCATTTCACAGACATTTCATAAGATGTAGAAATGTGGGAAGTTTAGGTGTGTATATGAGAGAGTACAATTCAGACATTACAGTTCCTGTGTTGCTGAAACATTTTTTCCTTCCTCTCAATGTTGTTTGATGATACTAGCCTCTACCAGACACTGCAGATCGCTGGAAAAATAGCTGAAATAAAGGTATAGTATACCAGAGATGATCCCGGGCCATAGAAGATCCAATTTGAAGATTGGAAATTGGATATTCTATGGCCCGGGATCTTCAATCTCTGGTATACTATCTCTTTCTTTTAACCAATTTCTACTATTTTTCCAGCGATCCGCAGTGCCTGGTAGAGGCTACAACAACC